TTCCAGAACGCCAGATTTGTGGTTTTAATGTTTTTTTTTTCAAGGAGAAGGGGGAATTAGAGGTGGGAAACAGGAAAAAAAGAAATATTGAAACAGTCTTGATAAAGTTGTCATCTGATTAATAGATCAAGTTAATTAAGATGGCGATGGTTGTTGGTGTTATAGTTTCAGTTCATTAGTTCTTTGTTGTTGTTTCTTTGGAACGTGTTCGAGTCTGGTAAAGTGAATTTTTTTCTCCAACTATCACTAATGTTACTACTAATACAGAAATACTTCCGCATTTTTTTTCATTTAATTTCGTCAGCCGAAAGAATAGTAGTCATGTTCGTCGACAGTTTTGGTGATGAGAGGTTGATGAGAGAGAAGAAAAAAAAAGTTAGTTGACAAATCACTGTAATTTTGGGTTTAAATATTAGTTTTCAGTATCTGATAAATGAACACTTTTGTTGCTGGTGAAAGAACAGAAAAAAAAAAAAACAAAAAAATAAAAAAAATAAATACAAAGAACGTTAAACTTGCTCAGATCAAATGTTCGCAGAACTTTTTTTTTTTGATAAGTGACAAGCAGCAAACGAACATAATGTGGTAAGAAGCAGAAAATTTGTTGTTTTCCTATTAATGATTCTTTTAGTTAAGTAAACTATTGGTTTCTCTACTAGTTTTCAGAGTAACGATAAACAGTTATCGGTTCTTTCATTTACCATTTACCCGATACAGTTTAATATCTGCAAATACTGCATCACTCACTTTCTACAGCTTTTCTACCCATTTTTCCCACCGACTTAAAATAATTTTTCATCATCACCGCCGTATGAGCTTTTTTCTGGACGTTTTGAAAGAATTCGTGAACGTCTATGAGAGAGTGAAAGTGATTTTTTTTTCACTGTTTTTGATTTCGGCGGTATTAGGAGACAGGCATAAATGTATATGTACACTTGTTTAGGTTTGAAAAGATTGGTTTTAATAAGCCGATCGTGGCAGTATCCTCTTGATGTGTCATGTCCCGACTTTAATCTTAATGTGGGCAACAGTTTTTTTTCTTTGAAAGGCAAAAAAAATTGGAGTTTTTACATTTCTGTTTCATCAAAGCGTGTTAGTCTAAAAAAACAAATACCTCCAAGAAGATCAAGGTTGATAACGGTTGTTTTTTTAGCACGAATTCCTTCCTGTTTTTGAAGTTGTGGCATTTTTTTTTGCAAAAGCTCCTCGTATTTTGTAACTTCGCTGTTTAACTGGTCATTTTGCTAAAATTAGGATGTCTTTTTTCAGTCAATAGCGGGCCGAGCAGTAGCAACTAAGGTTCAGCAACAACAACTATCAGGCACCTTAGTTCATTGTTGTTTCGTTAAGCTTTGAAATAGATTGTCTTTGTATTTACTACTATCATAACTGGTTGTTTGCAGGACTTTAAGAGAACCTCAATTTCATTATTTCGAGAATAAAAAGTTGCAAATGTTCAAATGACGGCTGTCCGGTTCTTTTACTCTATGCCATTACAGAACTTGACTGCAAGAATTTTTTATTTTGATGTAAAAGAAGTGAATAATAGTAGTACATTTTTTTCTGTACTTTATCAGGTAATTCAAATAAATTGTTCGATAACGGAGAAGTTTCCTATTTGTTATTTGATGGTTTCGGTTGTTTGTTTTTCCCTAACAATTAGAGAGTGTATCCTTCTACGGGATATGTTTCAAGCCCGTCTGAAGGAGATCCCAAAGAAAACCAGCTTCCATATCCCAAGTCAATCACATTTTCATTCGAGCCACTTCGCATATTTGCTCATTTCTATTTTC